TCCCACTCAAACGCCCTAACTTACATAAATCAGCCCTTATGAGCTGGTCTCTCTTGTACAAGCACACTACTCTCCTCATAAATATTTTTTATGGAATAATGCCATTATCACTTACAACAATGAATCCTTGTTCTTTGAAAACTGGTTTAAAAATAACATTGTACTTGTAAAGGAACTGTTTAACTGTGATGGAGTTCTGTTGTCATGTGAGCACTTCATAACTAAATACAGGGTTCCTGTCTCCCAGCATGAGTTTAATACTGTTATTAATGCACTTTCGTCTGGCATTCTCTGTTTAGTACGGTCCTTCTCAAACACACACAACGCTATCAATTTAGATATCGCTGTTAATGGCACTTATGTCTTTGATAAAAGATTCAAACTCCCTCATTCCAAGAACAACTACAGCTGTTAAACATAAGTGGACATGCCAGACTCTTGATGGAAGAACATGGAACACTGTTTTTACTTTGCCCTACAAATTTGTCTTGCCCTGCAAAGCTAAAGAACTTTCCTTTAAAATCTAACATAAATTTTACCCATTAAACTCTATTTGTAAATACATTCCAAACATAGAAGAAAAATGCTCCTTTTGCAACAATGAGCTAGAAACTTTAGAACATCTTTTTTTTCAATGTGTTACAGTATTTTGGACTGTTGTTTTGATCTCAAAAATTACCTTGGTAAGGAAATTGTACTTAAAGAATATGATATATTATTAATTTTTGACAAGCCCTGTTTCTCTAGCAATGAAAAAAATATTATAAATATGCTCTAAATGTGCTCTAAATGCACACGGTAATACAAATCTGGCTTCAATTGATGCCGGTGAGGGCACTTCATAACTGAGATCTGCATCAGGCTGCAATAATGTTCATTATTTTGGCCAAAGTCTTCATCCATAAAATGAAATTTCTGAAAAAAAAATCACCATTCTTTCTAACTTTTAAACAATCTCATCTCAACAATATTTCTGGGTTGCAAGCGAGAGCGGACGTTTTTTCTGCTCCTCTTGTCTGTTCTGGGATTTTCATATCTGTCTCATATCTTCTACACTTTCAAGTTTTGGAAAAGTCTACATCTTTGAAATGGCTCCTAAAGGGAAGAGAGCAAATAAATCCGAAGCTGCTGAGGAGGTCGAAGCTGAAGACAACTTTACAGCGGACTTGCTGGAGCAGCAACGAATGTACACAGCGCTGCTTAATCAGCTGAGTGAAAGTTTCAAAGGATTCGTGCAAATAATTATGGAGACTAGCAACAAGAGATTCGACGAAATGACCAGAGAGATACAGGAAATAAAATCGAGTCTGCAGTTTACCCAGCGAGAGGTGGATGAGATTAAAGTCACCATGGGTGAGCAGTCACCCCAAATTAAAGGTACTAGAGACGGACTTTATGAAGCCTGTGATTACCTCAAAGTCATTTCGGATAAAGTGGAATACTTGGAAGCACAAACCAAGCGAAAAAACTTGATATTTGCTGGAATTCAGGAGGCAGTGGGAGAAACCTGGAAGGATGCGGAGAGTAAAGTTAAGGAGGTTCTAAAGAACAAGTTGGACATACAGCAGGACATTGCGATGGAGAGGGCTCACAGAGTC